TAATGAAATTCTGACATCGTGTTATAGCGACTTGATATTGAATTAAAGATAAATTCACATAATGTAATGAACTACTTAGACCAAATAGTAGAGAGTGCACATAATGTAATAATGAGTTGAAATTATATAAAAACCATCTTTACACCACGTAAAATTGTTTTGACTTAATGTCATAAAAGGCTGATATAATGCAATGGAAGATTGGCGCAATGTAATTGAAGTACGAGTTAATGCCATAAAGACTTAATATAATGTAATGGAAAGTTGACATAACGCAATAGTAGAGTGTGTAAATGTCATAAAGAGTTAACATAATGTAATGGAAGGTTGACACAATGCAATAGTAGTGTGTGTAAATGTCATAAAGAGTTGATATAATGAAATGGAAGATTGACACAATGCAATAGTGGTGTGGGTTAATGTCATAAAGAGTTGACATAATGTAATGGAAAGTTGACATAACGCAATATTAGAGTGTGTAAATGTCATAAAGATTTGACATAATGTAATGGAAAGTTGACATAACGCAATAGTAGCGTGTGTAAATGTCATAAAGAGTTGACATAATGTAATGGAAAGTTGACATAACGCAATAGTAGCGTGTGTAAATGTCATAAAGAGTTGACATAATGTAATGGAAAGTTGACATAACGCAATATTAGAGTGAGTAAATGTCATAAAGAGTTGACATAATGTAATGGAAAGTTGACTAAATGCAATAGTACTGTAAGTAAATGTCACAAAGTGTTGACCTAATGGAATGGAAAGTTGACACAATGCAAATGTAGAGTTCTGCTATAAGGCAGTGACGGCGTTCCATACATTCTTTTATAAATATACCGACGCCACCGGAAGGTTTAGGTGCATTTTACATTTTATATTTCTTCTATTAAAACCAAACCATCTATAACCTGGAATTTCAATTTTATTTTCTTCTTTTAAATGTGTTTCACTAACTGCAATTACAGTATAACTTAGTGCACAAATAATTTGGTTTCTGCGTTCACCGTTTTATTTTGTTCAACCACAGATATTTAAATGACCTTATTTAAGACTGTCAATAGGCCTGGAAAGTCAATGCAGGTGGTTCTCGCGATCTTTATCATGAAAGTCGGGTGAGTTGTTGGGAGTTTTGAGCTTTTTTCACGATTCTTCCACTGGAAGTTATGCGAAATTGGTTACCGATTGTTCTCTGATTCAGGATAGTTTTTGCGTTAAGCTCTATCACTCTCTCTCTCTCTCTCTCTCTCTCTCTCTCTCTCTCTCTCTCTCTCTCTCTCTCTCTCTGATTTTGAGGATCTAAGGAAGACTGATTTATATGCTTCCACATTTTGTAGATCCCGTTTCTTTCGTAGAATTTCTTTTTTCTCGTCAACTAAGCGGAAACTAATTTTGACTAGACTGGGTTTGCCGAAACCTCTGCTCTTTTGTTGTGCCGCCGCAACTACTTTGATAGAATCACTTATGTGACTAATAATATCATTAGCCATTTCAAAAATGTTCTCATCCTCACACTGCCTAATGTTATTTGCAATTATCGTGAGCTCGGGATCAAAAAGCGTGCCCGCCTGATTTTTCTTTTTGTACCGCTTGCCAAGTCGAAATCTGATTCCATTGCTTTGAATTTTTCGTCTATGCTTGCCATAAACTCGTTACAAAATTTATCTTATATGCTATCAAGCGACGACCTCAGTTCTTTTTTACCTTTCTTAAGGCTGCTCACCGTGTCTGCTAAATAACAGTCATCTGATCAATTATTTTTGTTTAAGAATCTTCGATTCTTTCTTTCCATCCGCCATTTTGATCATTGTGCTGTGGGGCTTCTCAGTTTGCCCGTCTGACGAAAGCCTACGCCTTAAAGTTTCCCTTTCCCATATTTCTGCCATTTTGTCTTTCATAAACCATAAATAACACAATTTTTGTCAAGAAACTCAAATCATACTCACAATACAAAGGTTTTTCTGCATAAAAACGTCAGGGCTAAAAACCCTGCCTGTCCATCTTAACACATGCGCTATATACTGTATTTTGAAAAAAAAGTGTTATGTTAAAAGGAGAAGTGCCGACAAATGTGTGCTCATACTTTATTTAACGTAAACATTTAAGGATTATATTTACGATTTACATGATTTGAAACAACTAAATTATTCTGTATATTTGAATTTCTCGCTGCCCTATATAGTTGCATTTTTACTAACGTCGCTGCAGCCTCATTGTCATGTTAACGCACGTTTTTCCGTGCATATTTCTACGCGTGAGTATACACGAAAATGGTTTTCAAATCAATTTCACTGTTGGCTTACTAGAAAAACACAGCGAATTTAAATATTCGCAGGTGGATATCATGTGACGAATTTTGATATTTAACAGGTCAATCACAGACATTCCAATTGAAGCGAGAAGTTTGTTTTGAATATATTTACTTTTGTTGTATTTTTCTAGTAAGCCAACAGTGAAATTGATTTGAAAACCATTTGCGTGTATACTCACGCGTAGAAATATACACGGAGAAACGTGCGTTAACATGTCGTCACGATGAAGCTGCAGCGACGTTAGTAAAAATGCAACGATATACGGCAGCGAGAAATTCAAAAACATGTATTCTTAAACCTGATCTCGATATAAATCATTTCTTTGAGCGTGGTTTGTTATCGTTTTCAGAATTTAGCAAATTAAATATTGTTTTCATTTTGTGTGTCATCACATTTTAAAAATACGAGGGTTGTCCCATAAAATCGTGGACAAAGCGTTTTTCTGAAAAGTAATGGTCGCACTAAGCTGAAAATTTCAGTAAATGTTTATTTATCATATTTAAGTGCATGATAATATTTTGATAAAATATAGGCAAAAATAAAGATTTTATTATGCTTGAATGTGCACGGGGTATTGTCCTACGGCGCATGGACAAAAAAACCAAGGTTTTATTAAAGAATACACAAATTTGAATTCAAAATAAAAGTTTAAATACATAAGATTTGGATTAGAATTATCCTAATTCAATTCCACAATCAATTTTGTAGTCTTGGTAAAAAAATTAAGGCATTTGGTTAATTTTTGGCAGTTTCTCGAGCATTCGAAATGGGAAAGTGGTAAACACAACACACGAAAAATGGCGACGTTTTATGACGTTACGGCGCACCGGAGAGCAGTTCCGTTTTAATTCGATGTTGTAATGATACTTTTAGAGACTTGAAATGACCATAGAAGAAAAAAGATTATAAAAATATCACCATATCTTAAGTATACAAATGAAATAGGAGTTTTCTTAGCGAATTCTTTTTTGATCCAGTCCCTGGGGAGTACAAAACATACGGACAAACTCCTAATGTAATAGCAAAAGACGCTGTCACAGTAGATCGCCGATATGAGACTTTCTATTAGTTGAATGATGGTGAGAATATTGTCTGTAACTTACTAATAAATCTTCAGAAGATCACATAAGGGTGCCAATTGGTTCTTTGGCTCTTTATGGAGACTAAAGAATGTGTATCAATGAAATTCCTTAATTTAAGTCGGACTCATCCAACTTCATTTTCAGCAAAGATAAAACGTGACGCTGTTTTAGACACTTTGACGTTATAATCCATGCGCCGTAAGGTGATACAATACATGGCATAAAATCACATAATTTGTTTATTTATGCATATATTTATCTGAAATTTGCTGTGTATATTACTAAAATATGTACTAAATAATAGTGAAAATTTCCGAACGCAGTGATGTTTATTTTTTACACTAGACAACTTGTCCACGATTTTACGGGACAACCCTCGTAGTTTCATGCTGACATTGCTGTAATATGCTAAACACATATTCGAATTTTTGGAAGAGAGGGTGCTGCAACAATGACACCGATCGATAGCCCCGCCTCCTTTTGATATTGATTACACATAAAAATCACTCCAGGTACATGTCGAATTCCGGAAGACGACATTCTTGCGTCGTTGCTTCAATTTTGATACATGACAGCAGGGCATTGATCTTTCACCTTTCCATTGCCCATGATTTATTTTGGATTCACCTCATTTACAGATTGTTAAAGGAGTGGCAGAAAATTTTTAAAAAGGCGTCAAATCCTCCCATTCTTTACGAATATCGAGTCAAAAACTGGAGTCTTATTTATTTGTGGAGACTTTATTAGTAGTATTGCAAAGCACTTTTAACAAAAAACTTAATTTGTTTGTTAATTTGAGCATTGGAATTCTCAATTAGTACCAATTCACCCTATTTTTCTCAAACACTCTTCAAAGAATTCAATGTAAATTGATTTTCCAGCCGTCATTAGAAATCGCATCCCAAATTTCTCTAACCCACCTGTTTGTGGCAAAAAAGTAGTAAACCATCATGCTTTTCGGTTCATTCACGAGATTGGACCGTTGTTTGTTTGTTGTTACATGTAGCATGCGATACCACGTGATCATAAATATTTCAATAAGAGGCGTTTTCATATCCGACTCGGAGAGAAAATAATTTTTACCAAATAATATTTCATAACTTTTAAAAGTGATGGAGTGGAAATGTCTTAGTTGCAGAAAGTATGTACATTGTAACTTATATAACTTGATGAGACCCCACTTATATTTATTTCTTTAAAAATAAAAAAAATAATACGGCATATATATCTTTAATTTATTCATAATAGAAGCATAGCTTGCAAGAACAATTTACAGGTCTGTAAAAAATAAATAAACTGTGAACTACCTTGGAATATAGGACTTCTGCGAATACACTGAATTTTACGGTTGACGGCTTACTTTTACACTTGGAAAATATACGGGAGCTTTTTCGTGAAAAAATATTGATGCAAATGGTTAATTCACAGGTAAATCCAGGTAAAGCCAAACAAACACGAGTTTCGTCTATTTCGGTAACGCTTTCTCTTTCTTTCTCTCTCTTTCTCTCTCTGGAAAATACAAAATGCCCCTTTTTGACAGAATTAATTTTTGTATTCATATGATTCGATATGGAATTAAGTGACAAACAAAATGACGTTTTCCGATAAAACACAGCCTCATAACATAGACTTTGCAATTTTTATTTGAAAAAATCACTTATTTCTAGTCTATGAACAATGACATGTTAAATATAATTGAAAGAGTAGACCATTCCCTATTATGATCGCAACACAATTCAAGATGTCAAATATTTCAAATACATTTACATACTAGTTATGTTGAGGGAATGAATTAAAGAAATTGTTACTTTGTCATTTTGAATGTTAAAACAAAATACAAAAAATATCTTATTTAATCACGTCTAGTTACCGAAAGTGCCTTAATCAATTATCCCTTTACTGCGAAGTCCTTCAAGGGTTTTCACTCTGAAGAAATTTTTAAAATGATCCTCGGCTTCAGGTCCCAAACTTCTCTCCTCAGTTTGAGTTTCTTCGGTGGTCCAGGAAATGAGGCCAAATAATACTGAATGCTTTTTTTGCGTCACGACTACTTTTGGATTTAGTTCGAACTCTAATGTGTAGATAGAATACACACAATCAATGCTTCCATCTTGGGATTTTCCAAATGCTATCATGAAGTATTTTGCAATGGAAGTACCACCTTTGTTGAATTGCCACTCTAGTACTTCATAATCCCACGTTTTCGTGAATAGAATAACCTCCATCTTGTTCCTGATTGTTTCAGTTATACCTTTAAAAAAAGGTGTTTCTATAAGACATTAATGTTTATTTATTGCAACATATCCAATGTCGATATCTATAAAGAGGGCTTAAGCTACACATCTAAAATAAGTTACGGTGTATTTATCCCCAGCATTTAGATCTACTTTTAACTTATACTTGACACTAAGATATAGGGAAAACAATTCCGAAATACATTTCACGAACTTGAAACAGGCAAGTAGTATGAAAGGTCTTCAACCGTTTTGTTGTAGAATAGTTAGAACCTATGGAACCTTTGGAACGCCATATATAATGGGTTGAATCAATATAATAATAAACGGCGACCTTTTAACATAGTAAACCGACCCGTTATTATATCGAATGTACCATTCAATTTGTAATTAATTTGTACACTTCACCCTATAACAAGTAGTGGCGACCATTTAACATATTATACCGACCCTTTATGATATTGAACGCACCATTTATTTTAAATCTTTCACAGTATAATAATAAGCGACGACCATATAAAACAATTAACCGATCCTTTATTGTATTTAACACAGTCACCATTTATTATGTATCTTTCACCATATAAGAAGGAGTGGTGACCATTTAACAAAAAGAACCCTCCCTTTACTATATTGAAGGCATCATGTATTATGTGCGCTTCACCCTTTAACAAGGATTGGTGACCATTTATTATATTGATTTAACCCTTTGTTATATTGTAAACACCATGTAACATTATGTACCATACCTTAAGGCAGCTGAAGCGTTCCATAAGAACAATTTCCAGGTTAGTTTGGACTTTCAGTAAGGCGTGACGTTCTCGGCGCTACGTAATAAGAGGCTGTTAAAAGGCTAATTAACTATCATTGTGAAAAATGTTTAAAAAACACCAGGAACCATAAATTGTTGATGACAACGACCAGACTTATTAAGCTTCGCAGCTATACCGGACGAGACAAAGTTGTTGCTTATTCTATATACTGATGTTCATTGTTTGATTTCTATCCAATGTATATTTCAACATTGAAGGAAAGCTGTGTAAATTTCAGAAGCATCAAGAATGCCACGCCTTACCGAAAGTCCAAACTTAGCTGGAAATTGTCCTAAATCTAAAGTTATACGATGGTTGTCCAGAAAGTTCGTGAACATTTTCGTGGACGTTTTTTGTGAAAATAAATGGTTCTTTATAAATCTGTTGTATATTACAATATCTTAAAGAAAGAAAACAAGCCTTAATGATATAATTGTTATATTGATGGAACGTAATATTTTTTGTTAAAAAAATCCAAGAAAGCTTAAAAGTATCACAGATTTTAAAACTGTCTGTAATAGTCATATCATTAAAGGTTCTGACAGTGTTAAATATTTAGGGATCTGTATTGACAAGTTTCTTTCATGTGAAAATATTGTTTTAAGTATCATACAAAAACTTAATGCTAGACTTAAGTTTTTATATTGAAATGCATCCTGTCTTAGTACACATTCTAGAAAAACCCTATGTTCTGCCTTGATACAATGTTATTTTGACTATGCCAGTTCTTCTTGGTATTGTGGAATAAACAAGCACCAGAAACACAGATTACAAGTAACCCAGAACAAAGTAGTACGGTTCTTTTTAAACCTTAGTCCTAGAGAGAGTATTTCTAACAATATTGAAAACTCTCTAAATATGTTAAGAGTGGAGAATAGAGCTAAACAATTAAGATTAAATCATGTTTTTAATATATATCATGGTAATGCACCAGCTTACCTCCATGAACATTTTGTTTTAAATAATAATATCACAAGAAGTGCAACAAATAAGAATTTATTATACCAAAGATAAAAGGGAAAGAGTCTTCATGTTTTTTCTATAATGCAATCAAAGATTGGAATACATTGCCACTGGAAATTAAAGAGGTGAAAACAAAACAAAGTTTTAAGAAAGCTTTAAAATCTTTTTATCTACAAATGCTAGTGTTACTACATAAAAAGCTTGTCTAATTGTTTATTTATTATATTAGTATCATAAGCATTTTGTGATAATTATCAAGACAAAATATGCTACTGTAAACATGTCATTTTTCAAAGCATTATGCTATACTCATAAAAGTACCTGCCTAAATTCCAATGTTTATGTAATTTTGTTATTTTTTGTTTACTAACATGGTTGTTATTTGAGGACCCCATTGGAAATAAGCTTTTTAATAAGCTTTTATGGGCTATCCTTAGGTAATATCTATCAACTGTATGTCATGCAATGTATTTAATAATAATTACATATATATGTTAAATTTATCTTCTTTAATTAGCATAATGCTGAGATAATGTGTGTGTATTTCTTTTTTCTAGTAGTATGCTAGTCAGTAATGTTTTAATTTGTTAATCATGGCATTCTGTGATATTTTTACCTGAATAAAATGAAATGAAAAATCAGGGTCTTTAAAAATCGCAGATAGTGCACAATGACCAAAGTTATATTGCCATAAACTTTTATAAAAATTGTTCAGATCAAAAATAATTATTTTCTTCGTCTCTTCGTATAGATGAAAGACCAGAAGGCTTATTTGAGATTCGATGTTCCAAATACGAAATTCGGGATTCGAAATTCGAGTTTTGAAAACATAACAAAGGGGGGGGGGGGGTAATCAAATGTTGAACCCTTTTTAGCACCCTTTTAGTGAGCTTTTCTGATCACATTTTGTCCAGCGTCCGTCTGACCGTCTGTCTGTCTGTCTGTCTAGCTGTCCGTCTGTCTGTAAACTTTTCACATTTTCGACTTCTTCTCAAGAACTGCTGGGGCAATTTCAACCAAACTTGCCACAAAGCATTCTTAGGTGAAGGGAATTCAAGTTTGTTCAAATGAAGGGCCACGCCCTCATTCAAGGGGAGATAATTGAGAATTAGTGAAAATTTGGTGGTATTATTGAAAAATCTTCTTCTCAAGAACCACTTTGCCAGGAAAGATGAAACTTATGGGGAAGCTTTCCCAGGTAGTGTAGATTCAAGTTAATTCAAATCATGACCTCCTGGGTAGGGCGGGGCCACAATGGCCGACCAAAGTTTTACATAGAAATATATAGGAATATTCTTTAAAAATCTTCTTCTCAAGAACAGCAGAGCCATAATTGCTCATATTTATATGAAAGCATCCCCAGGTAGTTTAGATTCATGTTTGTTCAAATCATGACCCCCTGGAGTAGGGCGGGGCCACAATGGCAGACCAAAGTTTAATATAGAAATATATAGGAAAATTCTTTAAAAATCTTCTTCTCAGGAACAGCAGAGCCATAATTGCTGATATTTATATGGAAGCATCCCCAGGTAGTGTAGATTCAAGTTTGTTGAAATCATGCCCCTGGGGTAGGACGGGGCCAAACTTTTGGATTTTAACTTTTCAATAGTAAACCAATTTCTATTTTTTCGGTGCTCGGGTGAGCGATGTGGCCCATGGGCTTCTTGTTTGATTGGTTAGTTTTGATCTTGAATTTTGTATTTAAAAATTTGAATCTCGAACACGTCAAATTTTAATGAAAATCTTACGTAACATAGATGAAGTTGCTATAATCATTTCATGGTATCGCTTACCACAGTGAAACCTGCATAATTCAAAATGCACTGCGGGACAAATTTTGTGTCGGAATAGACAGGACGTCGGATTTCATAGTGTTAAAAACAAGGAAAATACTAAAATGGGAAGGAAATTTAACATCTAAATTCACAGTATGTCGGATTATTAAGATGTCGGATTAGACAGTTCTCACTGTATATAGACAGTGCAAATACCAAACAAAAAATCAAACAAATAGGTCTTAAAAGAAAACGCGATTTCGGCTGTCTGAACAGGGTAGCATCCGATAAAAAAAAGTTTTAATACGACAGTTGAAACGACGTAAGAGAAAATATATTTGTTACATGTGTAAAACAACTCAAAAGTATTAAAACAGCATTACTGTATCGATTTTAAGATTGGTATAAAAACTATAAATGATTTGTCAATGGCGTGTACAAATTTGAAGAACTACAAGAATTTAAAAACACATGTAATTTACTGAAATTGAAGATTTTTCTCATGAGCTAGTTATAAATCTGATGCAATGTCGGACTTTGCTGTGGAGTTTGTACATATACAAACTATAAATAAAAATGACACTCGTAAAATTTTGTGCATTGTTTTAAATTCTAAAAATTAAATAAATTATACTTTATGCTTAAAGATTAATACTACCACCTAGAAGTGTGTTGTGCCTTAAAAAAGTGTAATGTGTATTATAGAATTAAACGTTCTTTTTTCAGAATTTATCGATGTGTACACTTTGCCTTTTTACTCACAAACTGAATAAAAGTGCGAGTTTTCACATCGATAAATTCTGAAAAAAAAGTTTAATTCTTATAATTCCAATTACGATTTTTTTTAATTATTAAAATTATTTTTCTTTGAGGCCGCCATACAATCCGTTATTTTTACGGCGCAGGAATACTTTATGCCGCAAAGAAACGTATACAAGATGAATAAAGATAAAATCCAATTTATTTGTCAAAACAATCAATTATTAAACATATAAAAACTCATTGATTGTTGTTTAAGTCAACAAATATCGAAAATACGCTTATTCTCCAAAATAATTCGTCCTTGACCATGGCCATGTTGACGTCATGACGAAAGTTGAAGACCGACGACGTCCTCGATTTCCTCTGGTTCGTTCAAATATTGAGGGAGAATATGGGATCTGTAGGGTGTAAACATATGAATTTGATGCTAAAAAGGCAAGAGTCTGAGGTACGTTTCTTTTCCCTATCACATTAAAAATACTATACCAACTGAGTTGATATGGAACGTCGAGAAAATGACAGCATGATCAACGATTAAAAAATTCACACTCGTGATCCGACAGTGACATAGACATAATATTCCCGTCTGTCAGTCCTGTTTATCTCCTTTTCATTCATTTATTAATTCATTCATTTTTTTCTATTTTTAGTTTCTTGTAATCATGATTTAGCTTAAACGGACTAGAAGTATTTTTTTCATTGTTT